ATCTACTTCATATACTACGTGATGGAGCGCTCGGGCCTGATCGCCTGGTGTCGTGCGCTCATGCAGGCTGGCAGCACGACGGCCTGGGTGTTCAGCTCCATGATGGACATGTACCAGCAGCTGCACGAGGCTGTGCAAGGGTGGATCGACGACTTCAACGAGTACAGTGGCTACCAGATCACGATGTGGGAGTTCAGGATGGCCGTCATCTCGTTCATGACCATCGCGGCCCTCGTCTCGTACTTCTGGGAGGAAGTGAGGGACGCGCTGACGGAGGAGCTGGCTTCGGACGCGGAGTCGGAGCCGCCGTCGCCAACCACCAGCGGCCGCGTCACTTTCGAGGATTTCCAGGACGAGGACTCGGAGGCCCCGTGGAAGCAGGAGGTCGCCAGCGCGCTGAAGATACTGGCGGAGGGTCAGTCCAAGCTCCAGGAGACCGTCGAAGCTGTGGAGGGACGTGCTCGTCAGGACCGCCTTCTCCGATCGGTGCAGGGCGTCGACGCCGGGAGCGGTCCGGGGCCGAAGTCGGTGGAGGACCTCAGGCGACGGATCGACTACTTCGAGCAGCTGGTGCGGGACGGCAAGGTGACGGTGCCGTCGGACTCCTCGCCTGCAGCCACGAGTGCCTCCTGGGAGGTTCTCACGCCTGCGTCATCGGGGCGGGAGCTCGCGCTCACGGACGCTCGGGGCCCTTCCACTCCGCCCAGATCGACGTGGGCCTCCCCCGCGCCTGTGGCCAGCCCTGGGCGCCAGGCGCCCGCGGCCAGTCCGCCGCCCGTGCCGCAGCCGCCAATCGGGGTGGCCGCGAACTCCCCGGGGCGCGTCGCCAACATGATCTCCCACCTCGAGCGCATGAATATCAACCCGCAGCAGGCCTGGATGGAGGCGCTGAAGGAGTATCGCGAGATCGAGCCGAGCCAGTGGCACATGCCCGACGGCTACCGCCAGCGGGTCGTGCCCGAGTACCTGACCAAGGTGTACAGCGCGCCGCGGACGGGCAAGGAGTACGCTCAGCAGTTCCTTCGCGACCGCCAGCTGGAGGCGTGCGGCGCCGCCAAGGGCATGGTCGACGCGCTGGCCTGCATCGACAGGCTGCTGCTGGAGGACCGCACCCCCGACCTGGTGAACCTCGTAAGCCTGGAGTACCTGGCGAGGAAGGCCTACGCGATCGAGACGGGCTTCGAGCTTGTGCGCTGCGAGAGCGACTGGAAGAGGCCGTCGGGCAAGAAGGAGTGGACGTCGAAGGTGGACTGGGACATGATCCACCGCATCGACCCAGCCAGCGTGTCCGACGCGGCCCGCGGGGAGTACATGAGGGAGGTGCGCGAGGAGCTGAAGACCGGGATGGCCAGAGACGCCGACTTCATGAAGCTGGAGCTGAAGGTCGGGGAGAGGTCGCCAGCGGTCGACCCGATCAACGGCTAGAGGGGGCGCCGTCCTGGGCGCTTTCTTCCAGGTCGCTCCACGCCTCAACGCAGATCGTGGGCGACCGAGTTTTTGCCAAGCCCGGCGACGTGCCTCGTGGGTGGTCGTCGGAGCGAGTTTCCAACGTGGAGCGCATTGATCCTGAAGCACGTCCTCACCACCGTGATGGCCGAGCAGACAGAGGTCGGCGACCCGCTCAGGGCCCTGAAGCTGATCGAGTATCCTGCGACCGACTCCGGGGCGAGGAATCGGAGCCGAGATCGGGCGCGCCTGCGGGAGATCGATCGGGCCAACCACTGCTTGGTGGCGCTCCGCTGCCTGGCCTCGGGGTTCGTCTCGAGCGAGGTCCTGGAGACGCGGCCTTCGGTCCCGAGGGGTTTGTCTCCCCATCGTCTCAACGAGAGGTCGCTGGCGGCTGGGTTGGCTCAGAGGATTCTGCGTGCTGTCCGACGGCGACTGCCTGCCGCGGACCGTCCAGTGGGGCGAGTCGCATTCGAGCGGCTCACGGGAGGCGCCGCCAGCGGAAGCGGCCCCTACCCTGTGGGGGCGACCCCCACCACCCCGCCAACACTAGCAAAGAGAGGAGACATCTGCCCCGCGGTCGTGGACGAGATCTCGCTGCCGCCGGTGGGGACGACGGGCCTGAGGATCGAGGATGTCTCGCCACGGGCCGCCGCCCTGCTGTCGGACTACCGGGGCACGATGCTGAGGGACGAGATGGCGGAGGGGGCGTCGGACATCAAGCCGTACACCGACCCTCTCCTGAGAGTCAAGAAGAACATGGTCAGGTTGGTCGCCCGCATGGCTGCGGGCGGCATGATGGACACGTCGGATGTCTGCAAGGGGGAGGTGGCGCTCTTCACGGTCGTCAAGAAGTGGACCTTGGCGGAGGGCGCCCAGCCCAAGCGCAGCTCCCGACTGGTGTTCGACGAGCGCCTCGAGAACCTGAAGTGGCGGCGGCCGCCCTGGTGCTCCCTCGGAGCCGGGACGGCACTCGGCTTCGTCGACGCGAGCAAGGAGATCGCCGAGGGCTACCAGGTGCTGGCCGCGGTCGGCGACATCCCCGACTACTACTACAGGCTGCTGCTTCCGCTGGAGGTCGCGGAGCACTTCGTGGTGCCGGGCGTATCCCCCGCGGAGGTGGCGGAGGAGATGAGGGCGCGAGGGCTGCAGGTCCCGTTCGACGAGACCAAGGCCCACATGGTCGTGCGGGCCCTGGTCATGGGCTTCTGCTGGGCGGTCTACTTGGCGCAGATCTGCCTGGAGGATTGCCTGCAGGGGGCTGGAGGATGGCTGCACGAGCGAAATCGGCTGGCGTACGGCCTGCCCGTCCCGGGGATCCGCCCGAGCGAGCCCGTCCACTGGCAGTACATCGACGATTACGGCCTGCTGGTGCTCGACGCTCCGGAGGCGACGGCAGAGGCCTTCGGTGCCGATGGGCTCGTCGGCCTCGCCAAGGCCATGGGCGACGTGACGTCGCGGCTGAAGGCGCGGGGCTTGCCTGTTCACAAGGAGGAGTTCGGGAAACAGGTCAAGACGCTGGGCTGGCTTCTGTCCGGCACCGAGGACGGGGACATGTTCGTGGAGCCCGACCCCGAGAAAATGGACATGCTGGTAGAAGCCACGGTGGAGGCCTGCCGCCGAAGGACGATCAAGGTGCGGGACCTGATGACTTTGGTCTCGACCTGGACGTGGTTCGCGCTCGTTCAGCGGCCCACCCTCTCCGTCTTCGACGCGGTCTACAAGGCTATACAGAAGTTCAAGGACGGCGAGGACGTGACGATGTGGCCCGGGCTGAAAGGCGAGCTGATGACCATGGTCGCTATCAGGCCCCTGCTTTTCGCCCGACTGGGGCGGCCCTGGCTGGAGCAGGCGGGCATGACGGACGCGAGCTTCTTCGGAGCGGGCGTCCTGGTCACACCCTCCGGGATCGACGAGCTGAGGAGGGAGGCCCGACTCGCGGCGCCGAAGGGTTGGTTCGCCGAGCAGGCGGATCTCCTAGGCGAGGACAGCAGCGGCGACGAGGAGGACCCGGCGGACATCGACAACGGGCGCGACGCGTCCGACGAGCCCGAGGCGAGGAGGTCTATGAGGCCCATGATTCCGGGCACCGAGGTGAACCGCACGGCCCACCTGTTTGCGGGGCACCGCCGACCCCTCGACTTCGAGGACCACCTGACCAGGATGGCGCAGGAGCGGGACCGATGGCTAGTCGTGGAGTCGATCGACAAGGTGCTCCACTGCGACCACGACCTGCTCGACCGCAAGAAGGTGCAGGCCCTGTGCCGCCGCGCGCTGGAGGGCCAGTTCCAGACCGCCCACGCGGGCCCGCCGTGCGGGACCTTTGCCCGCGCTCGGCACAATCGGGCATGCCAGGGCCCCCCTCCCCTGAGGAGCCGGACGCGCCCCAGGGGTTTGGCAGGGCTCTCGACGACTCACCGGGCACAGGTGATGGTGGGCTGGGAGCTGTTCGTCGCGACGATCGAGTTCCTGGGCTGCGTAGTCATCGGCGGGGGCCTCTACTCCCTGGAGCACCCCGAGGACCCTGGGCAGGAGCCGTACCCGAGCATCTGGATCCTTGCGGTCACCATGGCTCTGGAGAACATGGCCTTCGCCCGCGGCTCCAACGGCTTCGAGGCTGCCAAGAGGGACTTCTGGGAAAAGATCAGGGAGGCCAGGGACCCCAACGTCAGCGACCGCGAGCTGCTGGGCGTGCCTGGCGAGGCTCAGCAGGCCTCGAGGGCGTCGTTCGACCAGTGTCGGGAGGGTCTGGCATCACGGAAGCCAACTACAGTGTCCAGCAGCATCCCGACGTTGGTCCGGGCGCTCGACGGCCGCAGGTGCGACCACGGCTGGCACCCGCCTTTGCAGGGAAAGCTTCCAGACGGCAGATTCCGGACCTCGCTCGCGCAGAACTACCCGAGCCAGCTGTCAGAGAAGCTGGCCTTTCACCACCTCGAGGCGCTCGACCTGGTTGTGCCCGGGTCACGGAAACCGATGCAGTCCCTGAGCGACGAGGTGGCGGTCCGCCTGGCCGCCTTCGCTACGGCGGGGGACGACCTTTCCGCGCAGATTCGAGCACCGGAGGTCGGGCCCAGCTGGGACCCGCTGGAGCGCTGGAGCGAGCTCCTGAGGGTCAGGTGGACGCGTTCGGAGCACCAGAACGTCCTCGAGCTGCGCGCTCTCATGCTCTACGTCCAGACCACCCTGAAGAAGAGATCGGCCTGGGACAGGCGCCTCCTCGTGATCACGGACTCGATGGTGGCGATCGGCGCGGTCTCGAAGGGCAGGAGCAGGTCCAAGTCTTTGAACGCTCTCCTCCGCCGCCTCGCCGCCTACACCCTCGGCTGCGGGTCAACGATCTATCCGAGGTGGGTGTCGAGCGGGCGGAACCACGCAGACGGGCCGAGCAGGGGCTACCGCAAGGGCCAGGCGCCGAAGGAGATCACCGAGCGCCTACGGCCACCTGCTCGTCATGGCGTGTTCGTGGATGGAGTGCGGGTGACGGCGCCTGTGATTGGGCAGACATGACGGAGCCTCATGGACGACCGAGTGCTGCGACGAGGTCGGGACCCATGCTGGGGCTGATGATGGCGATCATGCTGTTTCAGGTGGAGGGCGTCAGATCCACTGCCAGGCGGGCCCCGCCAGCTGCGGCGCTCCCGAAGATACAGCGCCGTGGCCTGCACGCCTGGCAGACCTCGGGCACCGACTTCTTCGAGGGCCACAAGAGCGACCTGCTGAGCGGCGGCTGCCCCCCGAGGCTGCTGGTGCACGCGCAGATGGACGCGACGGCGCGCCAGTACATGAGGGCCTGCAGGAAGTTCTGCAACTGGGCAGAGGAGCAGGAGGTCGAGATCTACCCGAGCTGGCGCCTGGATAAGGCGATCAGTGTCTACCTGGACGTCCTGTGCTTCGACGACGAGATCGGCGTCGGTGAGGGCAAGAGCTTGACCTCGGGCATGCTGGCCATGTACCCAGCGCTTCGCCTCCCGGAGGCCTACCGCGCCCTGAAGGCCTGGGAGGGTCTCCGCCCCACGGTGCAAGGCTCGCCCATCGGCGTCCCGCTGCTGATGGAGATCGTGGACCAGATGTCTCACTACGGCGAGGACGGCCTCACAGCAGCGGACGCCGCTCTGCTCGCCTTCGACTGCTACCTCAGGGAGCAGGACTGGGAGCTGATGAGGGTTTCGGACGTCGTCTCGGCCGACGGCGTGACCGCGATCCGGCTGGGCGTCCAGGAGCGCGGCGAGCGGGTCAAGACAGGGCAAGAGCAGGGCGTTTTGATTGACTACCCCGGGACCCAGAGGATGCTTCTCAACCGTATCCAGGGCAAGAAAGAGGACGATCGCATTTTCCCCATCAGCCAGGTCAGATTCCGAAATATGTGGTATCGAGCGTGTGCGGAACTTGGCGTTGCAGAGATCGTGGGCCGACCTCACAATATTCGACACACGGGGCCCTCCTTCGACGTTTGGATCGGTTACCGCACTCTAAAAGAAGTTCAGAAAAGAGGCCGTTGGAGAGTAGATACAAGTGTTCAGAGATATTCCAAGACCCACGAGTACGCCACAGCCCTCGCGAGAACCCCTGAGAACCTGAAGGAGCTGGGTAGCCAGAAGTACCATGACCTCGGTGAGCGGCCCAAGAGGCCGCGGTCCTGAGCTGAAAGCTGTGAGTGCTTGGGTTTCTGTTTAGTTCGGAGGCGGGCCTCGCTTTTACCCTCTCCGCCCCCCCTTTCTCGCTTTGCCCGCCTCAAGTGTCCTGAAGGACCCCTTACAGGATTCCGGGAGTGGCCGTGCATGACTGTCTAGATTCGCGCTCGTGGAGCGCGAGTGCGAGGCCTGTCAATAACTTCGGCCACTGCGAGGTTGCTCGCATTTCTCGCGAAACAGTTTCTTGTGCGGCAGGAGTCCGAGGAAAAACATGTGCGATAGTGCTCTCTCTTGTTTAACTCGTTCGAGCTGTCGCTCCCCCCCGGCGTCCCTTCAAAGCTAGATCCCTTTAGAAAATGAGTGTTGTCTCAACGGGGTTTTTCGGGGGAGGAGCTCAGCAGGGACTGAGGGTTGCTCATAGTCTTCCCTCCCATACCCACCCTGTGCTCCCCCCCCCCCAGTGGCCGTGCATGACTGTCTAGATTCGCGCTCGTGGAGCGCGAGTGCGAGGCCTGTCAATAACTTCGGCCACTGCGAGGTTGCTCGCATTTCTCGTGAAACAGTTTCTTGTGCGGCAGGAGTCCGAGGAAAAACATGTGCGATAGTGCTCTCTCTTGTTTAACTCGTTCGAGCTGTCGCTCCCCCCCGGCGTCCCTTCAAAACTAGATCCCTTTAGAAAAATGGCGTTTCCGCGCTCAGTCTTGGTCATGGTCCTTGTTTTTGTTCGCCTCCATCTTCTTCTCTGGCCCATCATCGTCCGCTCATGTGCCTCGGGCCATGCTGCGCTGTTGGGGGCACATTGGATGGGGCGGTAATGGGGGAGGCGGCCTTCTGAGAATCTCGGGCGTCAAAGAAGGGGCTGGGGACTCAGGGTGTTTGTGTGTGTGTGTGTGTGTGTGCATCGTGGCCGGGTGAAATGCCCCTGCTCAGATTTCATGGCCACCGTTTCTGTCAATGCGTTCTTTGGCCCATCCTCGTCCGCGCACGTGCCTCGGGCCACGATGCGCCAACCCCCCGCCACGCGCAGAGGGGGCACGTACGGGGGGGGGGAAGGCTTCTTCTTGGAAGCACCCCTGCTTCTCAGAAGGCGCGGGCCTTGATCTATAGATGTAAGGCTGGTGCCTTCCAAAAAGCAGCTTCCTTCTAAGAAGCCTTCCCCCGGCCCCCCCTACGGTAGGTGCATGCGGCGTTGGCGCGCTGGCGACGCCGGCGAAGACTTTCAACATTTGAAGTCTATGACGTGGAAGCACCGACTGATACATCCATCGGCACATCAGCGACTATAGTGATTACAACTCTAGTTGGACTGCACTGATCTCTGTTCAATGTCGCAAAAGTGGATTGTACTCACAAGTGTCGAGTTGTAGTGTGCTAAGAACAACAGCTAATTTACATGGAAGGTATGTGCGATATAAAAAATGTATTGCACGTCAATTGCACATGTATGTACATATGTTGTTACAACATGGAACTTGTGGAACGTATCCAACATATGTCTGTCCACACACATATATATATATACAGCTGCATATCACATGGCGTGAATGTGGTTTCTCTGTTGTTGTATTTGTTTTGTCGTGTGCGTCTTCAGCTGAAGACAGCTCGGCGCGTGTCGTGTTGTTCTGGTTCGGTGCATGTTTTCAGCGGAAGACAGCTCGGTGGAGGGAAAAAGGAGACTTGAGGAGGAGGTGGAGGAGGGACACAAAGAGGAGGAAGAGGAGGAGGAGGAGGAGGAGGAGGAGGTGGATGGGGGAAGGAAGAACAGGAGGACAAGGTTGAAGATAGGAGGACAAGGTTGAAAATAAAGCCGTTAGGTGCCAATGTTTGTCAATGGCCAGAGGTTTATCGAGAGGGCCAGGTCCGTGCTGCGCCCACGGCGCAGAACGCCGCAGCATGCACACTACGGCGCGAGAGAACGACCTCGATTCACTTTTCTGAGACGGGCTGCTGATCCATCTCGAACCCTTTTCGGAACCATCTCGAACACATCGTCCACCTCGGGATCCGACTGGTTGTCGTCGTAGTGCACCCAACCGAAGGGCGCCCATGTAGAGGGATCCTTGGCGTCGAAGGCGTTCCACTGCTCTGGCGGCATCCGCTAGCTCGGGTCGAATTTCTTGTTCCACTTCTCTGGGTCGATCCACTTGCTCGGGCCGAGCTGCGCGTTCGCCTGGTTGTCGCCGTCGGAACTGGCCACGGGCTCGTCGAGTCCCTCCGCGCCGCCGTTGCCCTGGTCTGCTGCGCGCGCTGGGTAGCCATCTGCCGTCGACGTGAGCATCCCCGTGCCGATGAACGGCGGCTTCTCGAGCAGCATGCCCTTGATCTTCAGCACACTCGAAGCGACGGCGTCGATCCTCGCATCGTGGAAGCGGAGGGTCATGAGGTTGTCGGTGCGTTGATCCTCTGTAATCCCAGGGCTGAGCTCCTTGCACGTCGTGCGCGCTATCCCCAGGCACACCTTCACATTCTGCTGCTGCACGTCGTGCAGCACATCGTTCAGCCTCGCGGTCTAGGCGTGGAGTGCGCCCACGAAGCTCTCCATGGTGATTTTCGCCAGTTCCTTCTTCGCGTGCTCGCGGCCCTCGCTGCTCAGGCCCGCCGTCGCACGTCCCCAGATCATGGCAAGGGCTTCCGCACTCTGGCTGCGTGCGCCATTTGTTCCCGCTGGGCGCACTCTGATCACTGAGAGAAGGCTAGCCGCTGTTGTGTGCTATCGGGCGGGTCGCTGGCTGCGGGTGCCCTGGTGGAGCGCGGGTGCGAGGCGCACTGGCCAGAGAGGCTCCGGGACTCAGGTATGACGCTCTCGTCCGGAGACCTCCTCACAATCCAACAACGTCGGGGATGGCACAGCGGTTCTCGACCGATTCTAGCTCGCAGGTCATTGCGCTGCACCCGCGCTGACGAGGGGGGGGGATGGGGTCGGGGAGGAGGGGGGGTGAGGATGGGGATCGGAGGCGGAGGAGGGGGACGGGTGCTCTAATGCAACGCCGCGCGCTCGTCTCTGCCACCCATGTACCAAGCATTTGCTTCGCGCGCCTGGCGAGCGCCAGCGGCTGCCATGGGCCGCGACAACTTATGCCTGGCACTCGAGGCGGCCCTGCCACCGATCCCCCCCCCCCATCAGCCTCACAATCGGCGCGCGTTGGTTCGCCTCAATGGCGCGCCCAGCAACCGCGCCGACACATGGGCCAGAAACACACGACGTCGTTGATGTAGAACCATGGTGTCATCAAGGCGCGCGCCCCTGGCGACAGCGCCAACGGCGCAATCGGGCGGGGGCCCTCGGGGGCCAATGCGGCCGCTCGCGAGGCGCAGCCCGCCTTCGGCCTGCTGGTTATACCACTTGGTCAACAATGAGCATGCGACCGACCGCTCCCAGACTTCCGTGTTCTTGACCGCCCCCGCAACTTCTTCCACGCATAATTTCAGGCGCTCGACGACGGACGTATTGATGTCGCCGTCGTCTTTGGCGAACTGTCCAGGCGCGCGGAAACGCGCGTGGTGTTCGGGGGGGGGGGGGGGGGGGGGCTGCCTAGTGGCGAGCGTTGCAGTAGGCTGCTGCCAAGGATTTCTGCAACTCCGCCAAACCCTCGATGACGTCGTGCTTCTAACATCCGTGCGCCCCAAAGCGCAGGTCGAGAACCTTGCGCGAGGCATCGGAAGAGATGCGCGTCGAAATAACGCGATCGTCATTCATCAAATTCTTCTCCGAGTGGCGTCGCACCACACAGTGCAAGCTCAGGTGCTCGCTCGCCCCGCATATCACGAGTCCCCTCTCCTCGTGGTGGCCAGAAAAGGCGCCGTGCAGCTCTGCCGCCATCGCGCCCATGCGCACAGGGAAAACCACATCGCACCGTGATGCGACCTTCCAACCGGCGATATCCATCCCAATAGACTTGCAGGCGCACGCGAACACAGAACGCATCTTCGCGACAAACAAACACGCGCCTGCAGGTTTTGAGCCCAGCCCGCGAGGACCGGGGCGGGGAGGTTGATCACTTGGCGGAGGGGCGCGTTGAACGGCACATCCCACTCGTCAGGTTTGACGCCGCCCCCCCTGCGCGAGCTTCATGAGCTCAGCGGTCGCAATCTCGTTCCTGAGCCACTTTGCCCGAGCCCGAACAACAGACCCATGGCGCCGACCGGCGCGCCCTGATCGGCTGGCTTGAGCTCGGAGGGGTCAGCGCAGAATATGCGCGCGCAGCCGCCGGTTAAAGGGGTTCCCCTCGCCCCGGCAGTCGAACCAAGCAAACATTGCCGATGCGACGATGCGCCGCCCCAGCGGAACGTCAACCTGAGGCCGTCAAGGTCTGTCAAAATCACATCGACGTTAGCGAACAGCATGGCCGTTCGCCCGCGTAGCTCCAGCGGACAACCAGCTTTCGCGAAAAACAGATCACCCAGTCAAAGGCATCCGCAACGCGATCCCTAGGAGCCCGGGCCACCCTCCGATCGCATCGGTCAGAGCGCGATTCCGATGCATCGCGACGGCCGCCCGCGTCATCTCGCGGCGCGGCGCCGAGGTGCGGGGCCCGAGGACGTTGATTGACGTTGCCGGTGTTTTCCGCTTGTTCTTCGGCTTCTCCTTATCGCCGGTTGCGAACTCTTCCGGGCCGATCGCTATCTTCCATGTGGCCGCAAGGCGAGCGCTCTGCAGCCCTCGCGCGCAGGCCCTGCAGCTCGGCGGAGCCGCCAACCATCTCCTGCAGCAGCGACAGTGGATGCGCCATCTCCAACGTAAAGATTCCGCCGATCTGCAGCTCTAGCTCGATCGTTCGAGCTAAATTGTCGACTGCTATGAATGTTGGCAGCAATGGGCGTGCTTCTATTGGCTGCCCGATACTCTGGCTCCCCGAGCACTGTCGCCGGGCCTTCCACTGCGGCCGAGCCAGCGCGCAGCAATGGCTGAACATGCCGTCGCTTCGCGCATCGGGGCCCCGCCCAGTTGCCGCGCGAGGAAAAGTGAGCCAGTGTGGCTACTGGATGACGGCGACGGCTGCTCGACGGAGCCCGCTCGTCGTCGTCGTCGTCGCCGGGGGCCCTGGCGGGGGATTGCGAAGGGAAATCCCGCCGGCCCTTTGGGCGCAGGCGGTTTGGAGCGTTTCCTCCCCTGCCCCTCCCTCCTCCCCTTGGGGGGGGGGGGGGGGGGGCGCCCCTCCGCTGCGCCCCCTCCCGTGGACCTGGAGGGGCGCGGCCGCGAGGCGACGGGGCGCCCGGGGCGGTCCGAGACGGCGCCGAGAGGGCTTCAGAGAGCCCGGGGCGAGATCGCAGGCGGCCCCACAGGTGCGCAACATGCGTCGCCGCGGCTCCCACCGTGCTCCGAAGAGCCCCAAGGCCGCCCCA